GGGTGGCAGAGGGAGGGGCTGTTAAGGGCAAGCCCCGCGCCTGGGCGCTGCCCCGTTCCGGCGCCCCGCGGCAGGGAGAGGAGGGGGCAGAGCTGCGGACGCCCCGCGTGGACCCTGTTCTGCCCGGCCTGGATCTGAGGTACCCGCTCCGCGTCGGGGAAACCGCCCTGGGAAGGTCCGCCGTGCCCTTCCGGTGGCGCATCGCCCCCAGCCCTTCGGGGCACACGCTGGGCCCGGTGCCGCTCTGCGAGCGCGGCTCTGGTTATAAAGAGCTAGGGGGGTGTTTCTGATCCGTGCTTGCCAAAAACTAGTGAAAGCAGTGGGGCTTTAAAAAAGCTTCCCCTTTTACAAGCCTAAGTTAGGACTTACTTTGGTGGGCGTTTAGCTCTTAACGGGAATCGATTAACTGTCGCTGGAAACATGAGAGGTAGGCGAGTTGCTTAGGGGGCCGCCTTAAAAATAGAGAAAGCTCTTTCGTGGGAACTTGAGGAAATGCAAAGAAAGCACCTTGGCAAAGTTTGACGCTTCAAATACCTACAAAGGAAGTTCTTGTTTATTTGTTAAGAAGTGTTGAGATATTTGCCAAATGATGTGGACTGTCAAATGTTTTGTATTTTACTTACTATACTTGGTTTAGGCAACTCTTAAAAAAATGTAATCCTGCTTGTGTAAATAAGTTTACATAATTACATACTAATTTCTTCAGGCCTCTTTGAAGTCTGATTGCAAATTTTGCACTATATTTGAGTTAAGCCAAGGCTTTATTTCAGAAGTCTTCAAAGCTTAAGTGGATTGAGTGCTGACTTTAAGAAGTGACTAAAACAGGGCTTTTGGAAGCTGATCTAATGTTAAAGTTTGCGAAATCAAGATTTTCTGTGTGCCGTGGGAGTTTCTAACGACTGATAATATTTTCCTTTCCTACAATATATCCAGAGCAGCTTTTTCTTGAGCTTTATCTGCAAACTTATATTTCAGCCTACACATCTTCCAAGATTACATGAAGGAACTGTCAGGTGGAAAATTGAAGTTTTGTGTTGACTTTGTGGTTCATATCCTTGACAACTTCATAGGACAAAGTTTCTGCTTCATTGGCCTGAACTTGAAACCAAAAAAGTACCAACAGCTTATGTATCCTGTTTGTTGTTTTTCTTGCAGTGTTACGCCTCTGTTCCTTCTTATAAATGCTGTTTGAAAGTACTACGCTTAATCCATTTTCCTTTCTTATCTCTGTGATCTTCCCAGATTTGTTCCCGAAAGGATGGTCCCTTTCAGTTTCCCTCTGTCAAAGTGTGCACTTTGGGACCCAGTTCCTATGGGTGATGGCATTGGCTCACATATTACCTATTACAGGTATGAATAACCTTTTTTAAGCGGCTAAAGGTTAAAATAAATTAAGAATTATATGATTCAAAGCCTTATTTTAGCTTTTGAGTCTAGTGTATGACGAGGCACAAAGGAAAAAGAAACGACCGGTGTGTTCATTATAAGTATATAGGGATTTTCATTGGAAAGACTTGAGAGTTTCCCTTTCTGTGGTGTAATGCAGTCAAGTGGGTTGGAGGTGCCTCAGTCTAAAGTAACTTACAATTTCTTTCAGTTTCCTTCCCGTATGGAAAGGTGCGAAAGTAGCTGCATGTTTGTAGTGTTCTTCAAGGTGTTTTTCCTTGTCTCTAAATATTTACAGAGAAAAAAAAATGTTTTTGACAAACTGGATACAGATAGCGTGCTTCAAGTAAACCTTAAAACTAAGCATTTTGCTTGCTTAAGGAATCTGGATTAAAATGCCAAAAGTTCTGATGGTTTTCTTGTTTAGAATGAGTCTAGGGGCAAATTTGAAGCACTTGTGAATTTCTAGGGCAGGATATTCCAAACCTGGCTTGTAAAACAAATGGAGGGTAAAAATTGATCCGTATTACTTAAATAGGTAATTTTTATATAGATGTTACAAAAATCTTACTGTAGTTATTAAAGCAAGTATATGAGCAAGTATATGCATATATGTGCTTTATAAGGGTGGACAGCCCTTACCTACAGGTCAGAGGGGCCTCCGCTTTTACTTGCCACTTAATGTTCTTTGAGTTAATATTAAAACCTCCAAGTTTTAACAAAGTTTAAAATAAATTACTTTTATTTTTATGGAGACACATCACTTAGTTAATCTTGAGCAGGTAGGATATGAGCTGTCATCATAGCATTCACATAAACAAGTAGCTTTACTTTCTACTTTGATCTCTTTCCAAGTCAAAATCAGATAAGCTATCTCAAGCTAAAATAATGTTGATTTATTTACTGCCCTAGATTCCAAATTTACTAACTCTTTTTTACTAAATAGTGATTTTATAATTACCTAATCTTTCTCCATATTTGCATTCCTGTCACTGAGCCAAATCTGCTGCTGTTTTAAGCATCCACACTAAATATTGTGCTAAAATGAGAGGACACCACATGAAAATTAGTTAAGCTTTTTGGACTATTCTACTCTTTAAACTTAGGAGACTTTTTAGAGGCTCTGTGTTTTGGTCTTAGTGTTTCTAACTTTTTCCACCTTCTATTAAAATAATTCACTTGTGTTCATCTCTAATTCTTGTGACAATGTTGCCCTTCAGATGAAAAAGCTTTTCCCTCTGCTTGTTACTTATTCTCCATAGAAAAAAAAGCTCTTCTCTCTCCTTGCTATTTATTCTCCATAGGAAAAATTATTTCCCCTCTGATGTTGGTTTGCTGGACTAGTCAAGCCAAAATATTCTTGTTGAGATGATCGTACAGAGCATTCTGTGGAGCTGCTCCAGTTAAAATATGGCTTTCTTGAATACGAATAGTTGGGGTGATGCACAGAACAGGAGCTAAAATTCCATTGACATTTTATAGAATGTTGTTAATTCTTACTTTTTTGTTGTTTAGTGTTTTGGGCTGTTTCTGTATGTTTTCTTTTTAAAGGACAAAAAAAAAATGTGGAAGCTATTGCAATATAATAAATACTTTTTTAAAAAGCTTTAAAAATAATTTGGGTCTCAAACTTGCTCATTGTCTCTTTAGAAACCCAAAGTTATCTATGATGGAGAAAACTTTGCGACTTGCCTATCGCCATGCTAAGCAGAATGAAAAGAAATTATTTTCCTGTTTTTTGCTTGGGACTCTTGCAGTAGATGAAGGTAACTTTAAACATCAGGTAGACAGACAATACTGGTTGGTTGAGTAAGCTGTTATCAAGGAGCCTGAGTTGTTGCTCTTGGACTCTGACTTTATTTATTTATTTTAAAGCTGGGGAAGGCATAACACTAACAATAGACCGCTTTGATCCTGGTCGAGAAGTTGCTGGTGGATCAGGCAAAATTCCATCTGCGCCTCTTCCTGGAGACTTTTTGATTCCGTGTACAATCAATGCCTGGGGACCTTCTTCAGACAACATTGTAGTGCACAGTGCTGAAGATATCAGCTTGGCTTTCAAGGTAGGCAGCTCTTGGCAATTTTTGGGTCTCTTAAATAATGAACTGTTTTCTAGGCAGGAGACTGGACTATGCACAGGGCTTGACTTCCAACCACCATCAATTTCAAACACAGCAAAGGTGTGGCTGAAGCAAGACTATTTAGTTGGTTATGTGAAATGAGCTGCTCGAGTGTTATTGGAAAGTGTATCGGAAACTATTAAAAACAGTTAGTCTTCACAGATGTTTAAGGATCAGAGTCTTTAATCTTGGACTAAAATCTTGCTGTCTGACCAAAGTTTTTCAGCTGATCTGACTGCCAAAACCAGCAAGACAACAGTGATTGCAGCAAACGTACTTAAACAAGAAAAAACAGCTTTTTATTTCAAATCTATCATGAATGAGTTGCAGTATTGCTAGGCAAGTGACTTGCAAGAAAGCATGTGAAGTCTATGTAGGTTAGTAGTTATAGCTGAAATGTGTGCCTGTTGCTTTTGTGCTCTGCTGTAGACATATAATCTAGTCAATACCCCTTCCATTCCTGTAAACGTTTGCCTGTAGTTGTTGTGTGTATTTTATAATACAAATAATGCTTACTTCACATCTAAACTTTCTCATGACGGTACATCCAGATGTTAAAATACAAAATTCTTGAATGCAAGTAAGAAAACTTTGACAGATCACCTTGAGCCTTCTAGTTGCCTGTTATTTTATTAATTTTTATACAAGTTAAGTAACCCCAGATTTTTTAATACATCATAAAACAGTGCTAAGATATGCATAGCATAATTTCAAGTGTATTTTACATTATTCATTATATTCAGTATAGCCATGAGCTTTGGAGACCTGGGTTAACAGCTTTTTATACAGTGCCTACTGCAATAGTAGCTACGATGAATGATTTGAGTTCCTGGTGTAATAGAACTTGAATCATGGTAGTCATACGAAGACAATTTAGTGTATCTAACTTTTTGCTCTTTTCCCTAATTCTAGGGTCTACAGCACAGTCTGTGCAGTAAAGAATCACTGGATCTTCCTAAACTGCTCACTGTTAGAGCTCACATTGTTTTCACAGAAAACCTGGATAATCTACATTTTAATTTTCACTGGGCTTCTATTACTGTAGCAAATATCTTGGAATACACCCCCGTGAAGTCTGTCCCAATTATTCCCACAGCCCTAGCAAGAAATTTGAACGGTCCTATGAATATTGCACAAGTTCAAGGAACTTACAAATGTGGGTGAGTAAAGGGTGATGCTAAAGCTATCAAAGTTGCCTGGCAGTTTGTTGCATTTCCTAAAGCAGGTAGGTAGGCGAGATCTCAACCAGTGCTTTGCTTTTTAGTAAAATAACTGTCATAAAAATAACGTAACTTCTTGGACTTGGAAAAATTTAAAATGTTATAAACAAGAAACAGGAAATGGGGTGGGGCAAAAATCTTCACTGGTTCAGTAGGAGTTCTTCTTGCTTTTGAATTCAGTAGAAGGATCTTCCTACTGGGGCAGGGGGACACACCTCTAGTTAACATAATAGATATAAACAGCATCCAGCTCTTTAAACAATATCAGTGCTTGCCCTAGAATGAAAATCAGATGAATGTGAACCAAAGCTTTTTCTGTTAATCGTGTTTATAAGATGGTATTGGGGGAATCGTCATTCTGACTGATAACTAATTTAGTAGGGTGAACTAAGGATGGATCAGGGAAATAATTTGAAGTGACTGAATGTCATTTTATTTGGAGAGAGACCTTGTGAATGTCTCTGAAAGTTACCCTTCAAATTTAACATGACTTGCACTTCTGGATTTTTTGTGAATACCGTAATGCTAAGCAAATTTTGTCCTTGGTAATTCTTTGATACACAGGGAATTGATGGAAAGCTGAGGAGTTGCTGTAAGTGTGGAGGAAGAATGGTTTTGATTCCACCCCACCACCCCACACCCTCCCCTGAACTTTTTTCTTACAGGATTTTCTAAACTTGTATTTCTCTCTTCAGGATTTTTTCTGAAAGACTGCCTTCCAAAATACTAAAAAAAATCCTGACTTCTGCTTTCTTTCAGCTACCTTACTATGGACCAGACACGAAAATTGCTTTTGCTGCTCGAGTCTGATCCCAAGGCTTATGCTCTGCCATTAGTTGGAGTGTAAGTGTTTGGCTCTGTACAGATTAATACACACATTGATTTGAGATGTATTTGAGGAATTACATTTGTGGAAACTTGGTAATGGAACTGTCTCTAATTGGATATTTCTTCTTACTTCTAGTTGGCTGAGTGGAGTTACTCACATCTGTAGTCCTCAAGTCTGGGCCTGTTGCTTGCGATATTTATTCAGTTCTTCAATTCAAGAAAGGCAAGTCACTTTTATCTATAAAACATAGAAGCTATTGGCTGCCTAAAAATGTATTCCACAGAAATGCATGGCAACATGGGCTCTGTTCAAAGATATTTGAGGGAATTCTGTGATTTATATATTATATAGGAGGTAAGGCTGTCTGTTTTAATTGTTCTTTCTGGTTTTGACTTCTGCCTCACAAATTTTCTGTGACTGAAGTGTTAGAAAGCTGGGCTGATATCTCAAAGACAGAAGAGGGTAAACATTAATATCATTAAGGTCACTGCATTTTAGTTTAAATAAGAAGCAGCAAGCAGGAAACTAGTTTAAACAGTGATGGGGTTTTGTTTTTGTTTTTGAACTTTTCTTATTGGTGTTTTCTTTGACATAAGCTTTCTCCCTTGTTGTATCTGACCAACATATTGAAGCATATTGATTTGCAGCTAATACTGTCTTGTTATGACTTCCTGCTAAATATTCTGTTTTCATAGGTTTTGCATTCTGATTTTTTTTTTCATTGTGATGTTAGTAGAGAATCACTTTTCATTCTCTACATCTTTTCACTTGTAACATTTGCTAAGTTCTATTTATATGGAAGCTGGGAGGGAGTTCAGGTGTTCATAGTTTAAAACTGCTCTTCAGGTAAATGAAACTAAAATATGCTGTATGCATAAGAATTTCTTCTGCTCGACCACACTTGCTTTTAAATTATGAAATAAAACCACATTTGGTGAACAGATGTCTGTAATTACAGAACAGACTTTTTTCCCTTAACAATTTAAATATGCCCAAATACAGATAAGAGCCCAATTAGATTGTTAGATAGGCAAGTTAGATGCTTGACTCTCATTAACTTTCACTGATTCCATCTTGGAAGTGGATTAGGCAGATTTGATGAACCATGCAAACGGAATTAACCTCTGCAGACTAACCGCTCTATCTATGCATCATATATTTTTAACTCTTAAGTTGTAAGTATAACTTTAAAGTTGTGTGTTTTTTCTTTAAATAATATGTGATAGAGAAAGCAGTAGGAACAAGGTGCTTGAAAAATGCATTCACAAACACCACTTCACCCCCCAAACAAGCGTATTACAAGTGCTATAAAAAGAAAAATTGTTCTGAAAGTAGTACTACCTTTTCCTGGAAATGCATGTTATTTTCATTATCCTTGATCTTTTGTGTTAAATGTTGACTGTTGTTACTCACTGTTCTCAACCTGTAGGAGAAAACTTCGATATAATTTTTCTTCAGAAAAAATCTGTTTGCTAATGAGCGTTTTTGGAATGTTTAGGGATAACTGAAACACTAAATGCTTTATAATACATCTTCAATTGAATTATAAAAAAAAAAAATCACAATATCATTTTTACAGATGCCGTCTTCTATGCTATGATTGAAGTCTTCCAGGAATTCACTTAAAGTGTACTAAGTGATCCTTTTGAACTAGAAAGTAGACAAATTATTCCTCTATTTCTCTACTTTGCTTTGATTCTTGCATGTGGCATCAGTCAGGTGTTCATCTGCTCTATCTATAGCTCAGTACCACTCAAAATGCAGTGATTCACCAGTTTGCTAAACTGTGTGATAGTTTGCTCAGCATATTGAGAAACTAAGGGCCTTCTTCCTGTTTCTTAAGGTTTTTTTTTTAAGTTGTGGTTTTTTCTATTTTAGGGTTTTTTCGGAATCTGGGAGTTTTCTTATTGTGCTTTATTCATTGACACACAAGGAACCAGAGTTTTATGAGTGCGTTCCATGCAGTGGACAGACTGAACTAGGGTTTCAGATCTTGACTTGCAATGAAACAGTGCACCTCTTCAAAGTAAGTGGCTTGGTTTCCAACTGCATCGTGGTACTTTAAAATTTTACTTTCAGTGTAAGTACTTAAAGAAAGAGTCACTATAATGTGACCCAAATGGAACTGCAGTGTTTGAAAATGATGTAGCTCTATAAAGCTACCTTTTTACAGTGATTACTGTAAATTCAGTTTGTCTCTCAAATTGAGAGATGACCTCCAAAGTCAGCAACTGCTCACCTTTATAATAGCATTAAGAATCTGTCTTTTAAAATGTAGTGTGCTGTGTTGGACTTGGTTAGTGCTCCTTCTTACTAGTGACCTTTTAGTTTTATGAGCAGAGATTCTGATTTCCTATAGCATTTGTTAATCTGGTATGCTATGTGCACGCTGGACACATCTAACAACTGCTATGGGTGATGCACATCGGTGCTTTCTGAGAGCAAAGCTAGGTATTTGTGCTTTGCTTGAAGTTGAACGCAAAAGGGAATTCAGTGGTTACTAATCTGCAGATCTCTTGCTGTGCCACAGTAACAAAGCAGGAGCAATTTTATCTTTGTCCAAAGTAACTCTTTGGAAGAATTTGATGATACAATGTCTGGGAGATTACTAATAAGGTTTGAGGAAATTCTAGGAAATCTCAGTTCCTTATGTATTTTCCTAGGCTTGTACAGAACCTGAAGTTGAATTGTTAATCTGCTTGATAAATGCTCCTATGCTCTGGCAGAGAAGCAGCTAGTGTAATGTGTCTCCTCTGCTGTTTACTCTGTTCTCTTTCTAATTAAATTTCCCTGTTCAGGGCTGCCTTCCACCTGTAGTCTAGGTACAGCTTAGCTTTCTGAAGATAACAAGCCTCTTAACAGAGGCTCACTTCTGTTGTCTCCAGGACTTGCCCAGCTGTGGTGTGTGAAACAGTATAGGAACAGTTGCTGTTTCCTATAGTGGTGAAGGCTTGTGGAAGAGTATCTAAGCAGTTACAGCAAGGAAGCATCTGCTCATGGCTATAATTAGGCCAACTACTTTAGAGTACCAGGGGGAACAGTGTTAAACAGGAAGCGAAGCCTGCCTCCTTGTAGTGGTGAAAGAATTGAGAATTGAAAGTAGAGGACAAGCAGTAAATAATCAGATATGAATGTCCGTAAAACTGTTTCTTTGGAAGTAGTACCTCAGTGATTAAAAGTTGAAAGTTTCATGCTTCACAAATACAGAAAACTTCATTCCAGAATGTTGAACCTTCAGAGAAGAGCCCCATCCAGTTTGAGTTGAGTGCAGAAAACCAAAATGCAGAAACTGAATTCTTCAGCAGAGTTTGCAAGAAACTTCCTATCAGAAGGTAAATCTTTCAGATGTCATTTATACACAAAATGAAGTATTTATTGGATGAGGATTTTTGACTTCTGCTGTGCCAGGTGTCAGTTTAGCTGTGCATACAGTGATCTCGCATTAAAATCTGTATATGTGCTGTTGTTTATTCCTAGAGTTAATATTCTTCAAGTAAGATGGTCAAGCTGACCATATTCCGAGAGAAACTACTCGTAGTTCTACTCTTGATATTGGTGGTTGTAATTTATACAGTGGATGTTTCTAAAAAGGCTTCCTTACTGATGGAGCTTAGTTCACTGTATTAGGCTTTCTGTGAGATCTGTCCTTTGAAGCAAATCTCTAATTGAAATCTACTTAAGTTGGTAAAAATTCCTTTTTCCTTCCGACTTCAGAGCTGCGAGACCTGGATAGGTTGAAACTTAGGGATTTTCAAGAACCTGACTTATCTATCAAATTTTTATCTATGACTATAAGATGGCCTTTATTTCCCTTTAAACAACATTACAATCTTTATTGTAGCACTCCCTATCTTTCTAATATACATCAGTGCTTTGCTGTTAGAATGTCACTTAAAAGGTGTGTGTGTGTCTGAGGGTGTGGGGAGGGAAGGTTAGTATCTTTTTGCCCAAAAGCAGTATTTGTATTTGCACTGTTTGATCTTAGAGCTGTTTGCTGTGTGAACTCCCTAGCTAACCAGGGAGGAGATGTATAGCAACTGCTTCTTGAAAAAATGATGCTGATATTGCACTGTAGATGGCACAGTGAAAAACATGAAGATTCATGTTACTGCTGCCAAATCTGACAAGCAAACATTTTTAGCTTGATTTATGTTGGTTTTAGTCCTCCCCTAGGCTGTTCACCCAGCAAGTTGTCAGCAAGCGATCATGACTCCGGTGTAGAAGATGAGGATTTATCCCCCAGACCAATTCCAAGTCCTCACCCAGTGAGTCAACAGGTAACTGAGTAAATAATTGTTCTAGGCATCTCAGATGTGACACTTAGAGCAGCAAAACTCATTGTAAGGGGGCAGGAGAGGATAAAGCTTCTGTCTCAAAGTGTTAACAGGGGAAAATAGAACTGAAGAAATGGACCAAGAGTCCCAACTCCTGCTGTAGTTAACCTGCCTTTTTTCCAGGATTATAGACACTTTATAGAATCATAGAATAGTTTGGGTTGGAAGGGACCTCTAAACGTCATCTAGTCCAATCCCCCTGCCGTGGGCAGGGACATCTTCAACCAGATCAGGTTGCTCAGAGCCCCATCCAACCTGACCTTGAATGTTTCCAGGGATGGGGCATCTACCACCTCTCTGGGCAACCTGTGCCAGTGCTTCACCACCCTCAGCATAAAAAATGTCTTCCTTAGATCTAGTCTAAATCTACCCCCCTTTAGTTTAAAGCCATTCCCCCTTGTCCTGTCGCAACAGGCCCTGCTAAAGAGTTTGCCGCCATCTTTTTTTATAAGCCCCCTTTAAGCACTGATAGGCTGCAATAAGGTCTCCCCAGAGCCTTCTCTTCTCCAGGCTGAACAACCCCAACTCTCTCAGCCTTTCTTCATAGGAGAGATGTTCCATCCCCCTGATCATTTTTGTGACCCTCCTCTGGACCCGCTCCAACAGGTCCATGTCTTATGCCGAGGGCTCCAGAGCTGGACGCAGTACTCCAGGTGGGGTCTGACCGGAGCAGAGTAGAGGGGCAGAATCCCCTCCCTCGACCTGCTGGCCACGCTTCTTTTGATGCAGCGCAGGATACGATTGGCCTTCTGGGCTGCGAGTGCACATTGCTGGCTCATGTCCAGCTTTTCACCCACCAGTACCCCCAAGTCCTCCTCGGCAGGGCTGCTCTCAATCCCTTCATCCCCCAGCCTGTATTGATACTGGGGGTTACCTTGACCCAGGTGCAGGACCTTGCACTTGGCCTTGTTAAACCTCATGAGGTTCACACAGGCCCACTTCTCTTTGATTCCTGTACATGCTAGGATTTGGGAACAGAGATAGTAAGTTCTATTTTGGGAACCTTGCTACCATTAAATGGAAGAGCTGTGGTGTCTGAGGCAAAGATAGAGGCAACAAACTTTCTTGTGTATTTCTGGGTAAATGAAATAAAGATCTGCTGGTCTGTCCTTTTTTACTGAAGCATATATAAATATGATGAAATAGCAGACCTCATACAGCATAGGTCTAGAAGGATGTGACAGTTGTGGATTATAAAATATGTTCTGTTGCACCTGTCTACTGGGTCTAAGAATAGCAAGAGGGAACGTGTAGCCCACTTCTTGAAGGGGAAAGGTCCATACTCTGAAATGCGCTCCAGGATGACATGAAGCATTCATTTGGTAGACATGGCTATTATGCCATATGAAAGCAATTTTGTCTTCTAAGAATGATCCTAGAGATCTTGCTGCTTTTTCTGTGTCTGGATTCTCCAATCTTTAGAAAAGTATTCAATGTGTCGTTAGTTTGGAGCTGGTAATGGTCATGTACTGATTTTAAATGAAAACATTTTCTTTGAAATTCTGCATGTGAAGAGCGGAAAGATGATATCTTAAAATGGTCTTAAACTTGCTTGTGTAATTGTCCCTTCAGGTTACCAGGATCTTTCCTTCAGTTCCTGAACTGTCACTTGTTTTGGATGGGAGTTTCACAGAATCAGGACAATTGTCTAAGCCTATGGGGAGTTCAAATGCTAAAAGTCTACCCTCAGCGCTACATCAGCCTATTAAAAAGAAATGGTGCTTGGGATCTACATATTACCCCACCCAGCACTCTGAAGACAAGCAAAACTTTTCTGTGAATATGGGAGATCCTTCTTTGAGGCAATTACCAAACCATTTAAACCAGAAAATTCTGACTTCAAGGCCTTCCAGAGGAAAGCAAGCTCTACTACAGCAACAGTTGCCCTGCAAGAAAGCTTGCCCTCAATCAAGAAAAAGTTCCGGATCTTCTTCTCCTTCAACCCCTTGTAGTGGGCCTTCCCCGGATACATCTGTGGATCACCCCAGAAAGCCATCAGAAAGACTTGTATTAAATTCCGATGGAGTTGCACAGCGGGGAGAGCCTCCAATTAGAAGAACCTCAATATCCAGTTCCAAGCAGCTTCCTGCTGTTACGCAGCCAGTCCTCTACAACTCTGCTTTTTCACCACAGAGCTGCAGAAGACCACCAGAACTGCAGGTGCCACTTCAAGTGCCACCTTGCTGTCCAGCCAGTGCGTGCAACTGTCAGTGTCCTGCTTCTGTCCAATATAATCCAATAAACTCATGGCAAGGAATGGGTAAAATGAGCCCCAAACATGGAGTGGAAATCCAAATGGAGATGGCTCAACAGAATCCATGTCCAGTGCTCCATCAAAATATCATTTGTCCAAATATTTGCTGTAATCCAGGATATAACACAAGCAGCCCTATAAGCATGGGATATCATGGAAAAATGGGGAATTGTTCTCTCGACAATAGCTTATTGCCTGGAGTAAGACTGCCTTCAAGTGCAAGCCCCTCTAGTCCGCAGTTTTGTGCAGCCCACTCACCGTGCCTGCACATGCCCGCTTCTAAAGCGGGATCAGATAATGGAATGATGGGATTATCTCCAGATGCCTACCGGGTTCTTACAGAACAAGATAGACAACTCAAATTACTTCAAGCTCAGGTTTGTGGAAATGGCAGCTTTCTCCTCTGCCCTCTTAGTGATTATGCTTTGATCGTTTCCCTGCCAAAGGAATTAATTTAACTGTTGTCTATCCTTGTTGGAACAAGAGAGTCTGTCATACCAGCTGCACTTTGGGGATGGAGGGGGGTCCTGATTAGCTCTGCTAATTGTTGTCCCTTAAAATAAAACTATTTTACTCTTTCCTAATTAAATTTGCGTTTATTTTTATCGTATTTCCATAACATGAAGGTTTCCCTTTTAGCAGACTGTTTTGTAATGCAAACCGTTATGCCTTCTATATAAATGCTTTCCTATATATATGCTTGTCTATGTAAAAAAATTTACTGCATAGGCTTTCGGCTTTGGAATTAACGTAAGCGTACAGGTGAAGCATAGAATATTCTCGTGTGTTGCTTTGTCCACCTTCAAGCCTGCAGCTTCCTGAGCTATTGAGGCTGTTGCTTAGAAAACTTCAGTTGTCTGTTTGCAGCAGACTGGCAGGATTCATCAGGTGTTTGTTGCTGGGCTGAAAAATTGGGCTTTGCTGGTCTCCCTAAGTTCTGTTTCGATACCAGGTTACGTTTCTTCAAAATATCGACCTCCTGAGTTACACTGCTGGCCCTGTTTTTTGCAGGATATGATTTGGGGCTGAAGAGCCAGAGTTTAAATTTTGCTGCTGGTGACGAATGATAGGAATAGGAAAGCTGGTACAGTTGCTCACAATACATACATTTTTGCTTAAACCAGAAAATTGCAACTGAAATATGCTTTAGATATAGCTGCTGTATGTAAAATCAAGCTCTCAAAGCGTGGGTTGTGCATGAGGGAGGGAAACCCCTCCTTACTGTATCAATGCAGACTTCACTGTTATGGTATTTCTCCATGGAGCTGTGAACTAATTGGTGAACAGGGTGGATGCAAATACTAGAGTGAAGATTGCCTGAGCAACCTTAATTTTATAATTATAAGTGCTTAGTTTTGTAATTAATACGAAGTTGGTTTAGCATGGTGTAGGGACAGTTGGCATATAAATGCTTGGCTGGTAAGTCGGTAATAGGCTTTGTATATGAATGAAAGGGACAGAGAATACTTCCAACAAGTTAGTGCAAATAGGCTTTACGCAAGTTGCCTTGGTGTAGTTCTGCCAGCATGTTTAAAACCTCTTCTTGGCTAGCTCTGCCAGCGTCAAAATTGATGTTCTGATTTATGCTGCATGCGCTGCTGAGAACTGGAAGGTTATCAGACTTCTGTGGCAATGCAGCCTGGATTTGAATCCAGACCTTAGAGGAGCCCAATTTAGTAATTTGCTTTTGCCTATTATACTTTATATTTTATTGTACAAATTGTAACTTTCTGTTACAGATCCAACGCTTATTGGAAGCACAGGCTCGTCAGGCTTGTTCCTCTGAACCAGCTGCAGCTAGCCGTGCTCTGCAGCCTGAGAAGCAAGGGGACCTTGTTTCTATGGAAACACAGTCCTCACCAGGTTCACACATGAGGAAAAGTGTGAGCATTGCTGTCAGCACAGGTAACACTTTATTCTTTAAAAATAGACTGGCATCACTTTTTCTGGATGTTTCTGTGATTTGTTTGGGCATGGAGGGAATGTTTTGCAGAAATGCTGAACATATGCAAACATGCACCAGATACAAACACCAGTTAAGTTCTCTAGGTGTTATTTGCAAGTTGAGGCTGGAGCTACTTTTGTCTTTGGGCTGCAATGGCAGTGATTGCTGTCACTGGAAGAATTATTTTTCCAATTGTTTTAGCAATGTCTTCTATTTTAAATTGTGCCTATTGAAAGAAAAAATCCACTTTTCTTTTTTAATTAATACACTGTTTTTAAAAGTAATAGCTTCTATCCCATCTGGTGTTCTATTAAATATATTGTTGATGGTTTTTGGTAAGTCATGCATTTACATGCATGGAGAGGAGACTGTATTTGCTTTAATTTTAGCAAGTTATGCAGCTGTGTCTGTAAAGTTACATATTAATGTATTGGTTCCTGTTAAATCCATGGAAATACTGTGGTTAGTCTGGAGGAAATTTTCAAACTGGCTCAAGGTCAATGCGTTAAAATGCTTTGATACAACCATTTATTTTCATCAAGTATGCTTTGGAAGAAACTAGGACTTGAATGATGTTTTGGCAACTCTTAGCTGTTCTAAACCCTAAATCACTTTTAAAATGGTGAAGAAAAAAAAAAAAAAAACCTGAATGGAGGAAATATTTTCATCAAGTATGCTTTGGAAGAAACTAGGACTTGAATGATGTTTTGGCAACTCTTAGCTGTTCTAAACCCTAAATCACTTTTAAAATGGTGGAAGAAAAAAAAAAACAAAACCTGAATGTGAGGAAATGATTCCTCTAGCTTTATAAAGCCAAAGAGCCTCAGAAGATAGTAATGACTTTCCTTAAATGGGTAAATCTCTAATTCTCTTCTAGGTGCTAGCTTATTTTGGAGTACAGCCTCAGAAAAACAAGACAACTCCATACCGCAAGGGAAAAAAGAGGATGAAGAGATTTCTAAGGAAGACATAAGCATCTCAATTAATGCTGAACAAGATGCAAGTAATACAAGTATTGCTTCTTCCTTAAAGGTGGTTGACATGCCCAGCTTCGTAGACAGTATTCATCTTGTGGAAGAAGGAACTAATCAGAACACTCTCCAGTAAGTAACCAGAAATATTTTGTGTTCACATAATAAGCTGAACTGCCTTTCATAAGTTACTACTTTCATGATTATTTTTTTCAGGCATTATAAATAGTCACCTGACTTCAGTTGTGGTGTTCTTTCCCTTCTTTGTTTTTTTAATTATGCTTTGAATTGTACAGCTCACCAAAACACAGTTGCCTTTAGAGTCTGCATTTATCAGTCGTGCACGTTTAGCTAGCCTACCTATCAGCAGCAGCTGATGGCAAAAGCCTTTAACTTGGAAAAGCATGTACAGTGCTGGCAGCATTCCCTTTCTTACCTTAAATCCTGAGGGAGAAAGGGGATGCTGTTGTAGTCAGTTGTTTTCCTACAGTGGCTTTTCCCTGTCAGCATTCAGAACCTTTTCAATTCTGAGGGACTTGGGATGAGGGGTTTATGATTACATGACTGTTCCCTGAATTTCTGTTTTACACCTAATTACTGTGTGTGTAGCGAATGCAGGTACCAACTTCACTGCTGTTAATTTGATTGGTTTTAAGCTCCGATTCTTTATAGTGCAATGACTAATCTCAGACTAATTTAGGAAGTGGTTTTAAAAATATTTTTAATTATCTATATGGATGTTATTCTTACACAAGGAATAGCTCAACAATTTAGCACTTCTAATGATCTAACGTCCTCTACGTATAAAAAGCCAAAGGAAGGGGAAATACCCTTCCAGTTAAATTAGGTTTCTAAAACAATTGTATTGGGAAAGATGATGATAATTAAGCTGTAACTTAAATATTCATAGTCCTTGATTAAAGTATTATCTGCAAACATATACTGCTACCATAAATGTTACTGATTCAAATCAGTCTTTTGAACATTGTATTCTAGAGAGATGCCATCTTAAGGTTCTCTTCAACTTGGATTCATAAACCTGTAAAATAGCTGTATAAGTATCTTATAGTAAGAATGTAGAGCATCACTCAGATTTCTCTGAGGAAAAGGGGAACATTTTGGGGAATGGTGAATAATTGCTAGTGTAACAGTAACTGATAACCTACATTGACTATCTAGTATGTCACGTGATTTAAATCTTATCGCTTTCAACACAGGCAATTGATCAGTTGAGTTCTGAAATTCCCTTATCTTACACTTGTCTCCTGAGGAGGAACAGGAAGTGGGAGGAGGGTCACTTAAGGATCGCCTCGGGATGATAGTACTATTGATATGTCTGGTCTCAAAAGGTTTATGTGATGCACACACCAGCTAGCTGAAGGGGATGCAGAGCATCGCATTGTAACTCATTCTAGAATATTTACCTTTTTTATCTGGAAACTTCAGGATAGATTATGGTTCCTCTTTCATATCTGCTATTGAGAAATATTTCAGCTAGGTGTTTGTTCTCAGTTAATGATACTCAGTGTGCGTTGTGTATGTGTGTACTTGTAACAGTGTCCCTGAGAAGTTTTTAAGTGTTTTTAAACTACCACAGGAATCTCATTATCAATTACTCACCTTGGTAAAAACGGCTTTTTGAATAAGTCATGTTTCAGAACATATGGAAGATACATTACTCTTAAAGGCTTTTAAGTGTGCATAAAAATGCTGAAAATAAAACTCCAAATTGTTAATAACTTTAATTTTATCTGCTTGAAGGTTAAGTATCACTGAGTTTTGACTAGTCCAGAGAAGCCATTGACATTTTCAAATGATCTTTTGAAAAACTAGTCAGGCTGTTGTAGTTTCACATTGTGGGGTGTATTTCCTCAGTCCTCAAACGACTTTTGAAAGAAAATGACTGCAGAAAGGAGCAAAGCCTCCAGCAAAAGACAAACCAAGAAATGTTAGGATCTGTTTGCAGTACTCGATTTTCCTCCTCTTCTGGTGTTTGTGTAAAGATAAGGTACCCGTAGTGATACTTTGTGCTTTCCATTTCAAGGAAATATCTAGCTATCTCGGCGTTCTCTTTCAGAAATGGAAACGTTTCCCAAGCACTTGCTCGCAGTTCATCCTTGGAAGAAAGTATTAGCGTGTCTTTACAGAAAGAACCAACAGAGGGAGCCAGCAACCATGTGGTGGTAACAAGTGAGCAAAACTCAGAGCCACCCGCCTCGTTGCTGCCTCGGCATCCATCAGAGGATCAGAAGCTTTACCAGGACTTACTGGTAATTCATTTAAATTTGATATTCTGCACTGAATGCAACAGTCAAAACAGCGCACTGCTGAAGTTTTGATGTGGTATTGGCATGAATGAAAATTGCGTGTGGCTTTCAAGTTCACATGTTGTGCTCTACAGAAAAGTTCCAAGTTTGTGGTTCTTCATCTTTTTTTAAGTGGTTATTCTGTACTTCACTCTTCCATGCATACATGGAGTACTGTCTGCTGCCTAATAAATAGTAATTCTTTAGTTAAAAGATAAAGTCAGTTGATAACTTCCCCAATTAGTGCCCTTTAAAATGGCATGGCATTTTACCTTCAAGTCCCTTAAAGGGCAGAACCTGAATCTTGAAGAGTAACAGTATGTGATGTGTTTAAATTCAGAACAGACTCTTACAGAAAGCTTGAAATGTAAGATATTCCAGTGTTTGACTACACTGCTGTGAGTTTACGTGATTCCATCTGAACTGAATCCGAATTTGGCTTGTTTGTCAGAATAAGTTGTTAACCCATGTAGTTGTATTTTTAAGTTGCATAAGAATAAACCAGGATTTTGGTTTTTGAGAACTCCTGCATGTTATGATGTTTTTGTCCATGTGGTCTCTCCTCGTAGGGCCAAGTAAACCACCTCTTAAAATCCTCGGAAGAGAAAGATCACTTGCCTGTTAAAGCAGCATTTGTTAATGATGATGGTCCTGAGTATCAGAATATTGATGATACAACAGAAATGGCTTCAGAGACTGGCACAGGAGCGGTGGATAAAGAGAGTGTGATTAGTGCTACACTCAAACAACTGAAGAGTCTTGGAGTGACAATTGACTCGCCTGGCAAAATGAAGAAAAATACACACAAAGTGGAGAATGCCAGGTAAAATACTGGTTGTTTTGAGTAGTGATTTGTAGATCCAACCAAAAACGAAGATTGGCTCAATGAGCAAAGAGAAGGGACTGTGTTCACTGCTACTGGGGATTTGTTTGGCAACTTGATCCACATTTTCTGCAAAGATGAAACACTGGCTTATGTTATGGGTATTTCAGATAGGTTTAAGAGAGCTCTGCTAGCAAAACTCAGATTATTTAAATATAACACAAGTAGCTCTAGCTGTTAGAGCATCTGGTGATTCTTAAAATAGTGTGCGTGCAGTAGCACACAATTCCCTAGAACAATAATGAAGCTGCTTGAGTTACTTCAATCCTTTGGGCTATGTCAAAGTATTCCAGAAAAACACTGGGCTTAGGAGGCTGAACGTTAAGCAGCTATATATTTTGTCACTGCTTCTTAACCCTTGTCTTGCACTTCACCAGTATAAGTGAAATTGTTATTGTGGCTCTGATATATAATCAAAACTGGTTCTGTCCTAATCGCTTGTTGTTGTGAGTGCTTTGACTTGAAACAGGGAGGCTGCAGTGGCTGGGGAGGGAAGCAGCCTTGATGAAACAGAAGAAGGAGCAGAAGTAATTTCTGGAGAAGGTGTTTGAGGCACAGGAATTTACTTACGTAGCTGCTTAGGCATAGGCTGGCTGCCTGGTACAGCTTCACTTTCATCCTTATTGTCTTCTTGATACCAGTATATAACTGTTAGGTAAACAAAAAAATCTAACCATCTCCTAATTAATCTCCTCTTCAGCTATGTATCAAAAGCCATTTCCAGTCATGCAGTTTCTAAGCTCTTTTCTCTCCTTTTCACTTGAATTTCATCAGGCATTTTTCTGGAATTTCTGGGCTACCTTCCTGGCTGGAGAGTCTGTCAGTGTTATTTTAATGTCAATAATATGCTAATAAGTGAACCCGTAAGACAAAACTGGAATTCTTGGGTTTTTTTCTTCAGACTTGGGGAGCGGGGTGAGATTCTTCCTTCTGCCACTTTCATGACTGATAAACAATTCTGAGAAATGGTCTATAGCTCAATAGAGAAGGAAACAACAGTGCAACTCCATAGCATAATTAGTGGTTGTTCATCTGAGCCAGGAGTTTACTCTCCCTAAGCAAACTTCAGAATGTGTGCTCAGTGAAATAGGAAGACCCTTAACTCTCAACATGAGGAGTTTGGGTTTATGAACTAGTATATGACACATGTACTAAATGCACTGGTTTATAACCACTACCAGCGTACAAGAGCTTGTCCTTTCAGTCTTTAAACTAAACACCTAATGTATACAAGAAATTGGTGTACCAAGCAACAGAACAAATGAACATTTCCCTTACTGAAGGATGCCTTCAAAAACTAGAACCTTGTAGGCTTCTGGAAACAGATACTATGTCAGAGTTCCTGTAAAAATCCTGGAATTGGCATGTATTGGGGAAGGGGAGATGTTCTTGGTCTCTGTCATTGGGCTTGTATCTTCTATCTAGATAGAAATTTTGGATTGGATGGCAGCATCTAGAGTCTTAGGGCCAGAGGCATATAATGTCGCATTCACTGGTGAGAATAGACCAAGAGCTCAAACCTGCTTTAGAAACAAAACCGTCTCTGAAACCTGCTAGAGGCCAGTTCTCCTTCGTACAAGGGTTGTGATTAGTATTGAATCAGAAGGGAATACCATCAGTTCTCTTTAACACAGTATTTGGATGCTGTTGGTGTGAATAGCTGGAGAGCTGCTTTTTAGTATGTGCAGAATGTACGATCTCGGCACTGAGCAGCCTGATGGAGCTGTGGTGTTCAGAAGGGAGAGGAAATGGGTACAGCAAGCAAAATGAAATTACCAGATTATATTGTAAAATGTGTACTTCTCCTGTAACACTAACCTGACTTTTTGATGCTTTTTTTTCAGCATCTTAGCGTGCATAAATCCTGAAGCAGTGGTTCCCGGACTAAATTATATGTCATTTGCCAATGTCAGCATGTGTGGCTTAACTCCTAATGTTGTTGATCTGAGCATGGAAGCAAACGCTATAGCACTCAAGTATCTCAGTGAAAATCAGTTATCTCGACTTTCTTTCAGTCGCTCAGGCCAAAATCCTCCTGCAGATTTCTCTTTCCAAGATCTGTTGCATACAAATATGGATAAGAGCATGGTGGGTCTTAGCTTAATTTCACCAAACAATATGTCTTTTGCAACCAAGAAGTACATGAAGCGATACGGACTGATACAGGGCAATGACAGTAGTGAAGATGAAGAGGAACTGCAGGTTCAAGATGGCAGTTCTGGCACTGTCAAAAGCGAAAGCATGCTGGACAAAAACTGTACCCCTGTGTTGGATGGCTTCAACCACTGGACTGAATTATCCAAAAGAACTGATGGAAGACTTCCCATTCATCTAAAAAGTCACAGCAGAGAGTTGACTACTAATGCTTCTCCACCAGAATTAAACAGCCCTGTATTGAGAAATATTACAAATGAAATTTTGCCTCCCAGAGCAGATCAAGCAGATGGAAACTCAGTTCAGATTTTAAAGGATTTAAAATCAAAAACCAAATTGTTTCCTGGGAGAGTTGAATTCACTGAACAACCTGGCAGGAAAGATGAAGGAGATATTCAGGTCTTCCCTGGAAATCTGCATGCTCCGGCCCTTGAAACATTAAACCAGTCGAACAGCATGAATTCTGTTGGCACCATTCTTGATGTGAAACAACTCAGGCAGTTGCCAAAGTTGTTCTGAACATCCCCCGAGATGGCTGGCAACCACTGTTTTCCAATCTGAGAGGGACCTCTCTGTAAAAGACTACAGGAAACCAAGGATTAAGCTATCTTTGAAGAGGCCACTCTGCAAGTTTTACATTGCTACAACAGAACTGAGTTTTCAGCCCAGGTTGGGGACAGCCACCTCTAAATGCCTGGTCGAGTCAGTGCTGATCAGCACTGAAGTATGTGTGCACTTTTGTTTACAGTTAGCTGTGATTTTTAAAGTATCTAAAAGGTGAATCAACTTGAGCCCGAGATGTACTCTTAATATACTTTTAACAGCGATGCTTATTTAAATGTTCTTCTGCTGATTTTTTTTTTTTTTTTTTAAAAACACTGACTTTTATATGTTTGTGTCAACTGTGAGCCATCGATACTGTGTGTGGCAGAGCAGGGGTAACAGAGATAAAGCACTAACTTCTAGAAATTTGCTGAAATTTGGTTGGATTACTGGGGGGGGTCTGGTAGGAAGGGAAGTATAACCGTGGCTTTACTTTGCATAAAATTATTTTGAATTCAGCCAAAATGGCACATGTAACTCTCTGTATCATGAAATCTTGGAAGGAAATTGGAAAAACTAGCACTTTTAAAACTTTTGTGATTTTTTTTTTTTCCTGAATGAATGTTTTCTATTTATTTAAGAAGTACATATTGCTCATAAAGGTCAAAGGTTCCATTAAAAAAAAAAATCTTCAATTGTCTGATGTAGCCTTTATTTAAGACATAAGCCGCTTCCCAGACATTGTTTAGAATGGCTAACTGGAAGTGTGAGGATGTCACGTGCTACTGCACTCTTCAAGAATTCCGATACTGGGTGGTGGGGGTACGCAAAAATAATGGATTTACTTTGTTCTGTATTAGCATACAAATATTCTGTCAGCAAGCGCTACGGTCTGTTAATGAAACAGCCCTTTTCAATAACCCTGTGATAACATTCCACAAGTTGAATTCAGTTATTTAATGTTTAACAATTCCATTTCTGTTAAGACTTTGACTTTTGTTGAATTTTTAGCTGTAGTAGGTGTTTTTGTGGTTACTATGTGTTGTCAGTTACGTAGTAACCCCACAGGTGCTGGAAACCCCAGGGGGCCAGTGCTGGCTGTGACAGCTCTGCCCGCCTTTGAGTACGTCTGAGGACACGGCTCAGCGAGTGTGGCTGTGGTGTAACGCACCTCTGTCCTGACCTCTTGGTCTTGGAAACGAGACAGCAGCGCTGGAAGCTGTAATTCCTTCCCATTCCCACCGTTCCTGATGGGAGGATGGTGCGGAATGACGGTTGCACCATCTGTTTTCTCACTGGCTGTAGCGCATCAACACACTTTAACGGGAGTTTGAACAAACTGTGGTTTAGGGATGGCATTGTCTCAACAGAAGTTCAGCCTACGGTGCTGACCTTGTCTTTCCTGCTCCGAGAGTGTTAAAGTAGAGATTAAAACACCCCACACTGAAGTCCTGGGCCTTTCCCGTTCAAATCCAAAGGATTGCACTGCTAGTTCATGGTATGTTTGAGTGGGCACTAATTGCTAATTGATTTATTACAGTGACAGGAGCGTGTTTTCCATCATCTACCACCCTCGTGGGCCTTTGTGGATTGAGAATCGGGGGTGAAAGAAGCCATTTGCTATTTCAGAGCCAGTACAGAGAGAGGAAGGCAGCAGCTGCCTTCGAGCTGTGTCAGAATTTCTCTTCTCACGCAGCCTCTTCCATCAACAAGAATATTTGCTTCCTTTCAGGAAAGGTGCTACTTTGTGCTGAAAAATAAAACCTTTCTCAGTCCCTGAATCTCCCCGGGATCAAGCACAAGCTTATTATCCGGCAGCACCTTTTCTGCTGAATCAGTCAAAAAATAGTTAATGTTTTTGAACATTCCAGTGAGATGAATGAGGCAATTCATACCTCTGAGCTATTGTTGTAGGGTTTTGTTCTTTGTTTCCTATTGTAAAATGTCTGGAAACACAGGAAGATGACAGTTGTATTGGTTAATATTTTAAAGACTTTCTTCAAATGCTGGAGGGCTAGAAACGATTTGAAAACAAAAGCCGAATTACTTGCACGCAGCTCAGGACAAGGGTGTGGTGTTATATTAAGTTACACAAATCATACAATCCTGGACAGCAACTTCTGAGCAAGTGAAACATTAATTCCCTTGACCAAAACAACAAAAAAACACCCTTCCCTGAAGCGGCTTTTCCTTTCATAGCGTAGTGCTGAGTAATTTCAAGATGCCTGGCTTTTTTTCCTGAAGCATCTAGTGCAGCTTGGAGTCAAAAACGCGTGGACAGCTAGGTCTGGCTTTGTTAACCCTGAGCAATGGGGACCAAACTCGAGCGCTGGCTCGATGGCGTGTTCAGGCAATGACGCGTGTGGAGGGGCAGCATGGTTTAAGGCTTTATTGTTGGGTTTTCTTCTTTTTTGCTTCTGTTATTTCTAGCTATCCTTTATTAAAGGAAACATAGTGCTTGCTTAAAAGGTCTTGGGCCTGCTCAGCGTGTCGCTGATGTTCCTTAGTCTGTATAATTTTGGTGCTCCCTGCCCCTACTGCAGGGCTTGCTCCCTCTTCGCCTTGCAAAAGCGTGGAGAGGGGGCGAGCCCCGGGTTGCTCGGCAGGACCGGGAAGCCCACCCGTGGCAGGGCGGTGGCGGGGAAAGGGGCCCGTTACCTGCCACACCAGGGTCCCCGTTAGGCTCGGGGTGGGGTTGCACAGCGAGGGGCAGCCGTGCGGGCGGAGGTGGGTTGACGACGGCCACGGCTCCCGCCCCACGGGGGGC